AGTACATGCAGGCAGAAGGAAGAAAAGGCACGCAAAAAAAATCTACATATAAGAAATAATGGGCACAAGCTTCAGGCTAGACATAAGGAAAAACTTCTTGCAAGTCAAGGGTTTGGAACAGGCTTCCCCCAGAGGTGGTACAGTCATCCACCCTGGTGATCTTCAAAAAATGTTTTGACGCCCATCTTGTTGGGGTCATCTGATCCCCGCAGTCTTTCCTGCCCAAGTGCAGGGGGGCTGGACCCGATGATCTGTAAGGTCTCTTCCAGCCCCTAACACCTATGAAACTATGAAACCCATACCAAGAAGATGCAGCATGGACATTTGTGGGGAGGACACCGATTTGCACGTCAGGAGACAGGTTCCCTTCTGGACTCTGCCACTGACATGCTGTATTTCCTTGGGCATCACCTCTGCCATCCCATCTCGTCTGCCCTGTGGATTTCAGCTGCAAACTCTTTAAAACTGACTGTTTTTATGCAATGTGGAAACAGTACCCAACACAATCAGACTCTGATCTTGGTTGCGGTCCTCAAGGTGTTACTGTTCTACAAATGATGTAATACCATGCTGTTTGATTTAGCTCCCCTTGGAGTGGAATCTGACTACTCTGAAAACCAACTTTACAAGATCCCCTCTCATCAGAAGAAACAGTAGGTCTGGCTGCCGGTTTTAACAAAAGGCCGATATGAACTATACACTTTGAATTGTGCCCCAAAGTTCCTTAAACAATGAGCTTAACTATGTAACTGTAAGTTTTAAGAGGCATTATATATAGCAAGAATACAGAAGGCAAGTTTGGGGCAGCAGCATCAGGGATCTCAGGTGTTTGTTTAGTATTCAGATGGAATATTCCTAAAAGATCAGTGCGTGTTCATACATAATTTCCTTGCAACAGCTGCCTGTCGCTTTCTTGTTCGTGGAGAGCTACAGAATTATTTCCAAAGAGGATGTATTGCTGGGGCTTCATGTAATCATTATCTGAGCTTGGTTGAAAAGAGTGGAAGAAAGAAAAGTGACATGTTTAATATATATATACATATACATACATACATACATATATTTTAATTTCAACATGTTGAGTTTTTCCTCCATTTTTCTTCAGGATATCAAATGTTTCTGATCAGCCTCATTATGTTTAAAGTCCTCCTATATTGATTAGATTATGATGGATCTTGAGCTGTTTTATGTAGTTTGAGTTCACTACTCCATTTTTGGTATAAAGCAGTCACTACAGATGCTTGTGAAATGCAGCTGTGTCTGGGGTGGAAAATGGTGGCTCTTCAACAGCCTATTCCAAGTCCTCCACTGCCTTTACATTAACTGCTATGTGAACTGAACTGGGTACTTTCAGAGTAAGTTAACTTTACAACAGTGAGAACAGCCAGTGAAAAATGTTACACTTTCCATACAGCACAACAAGCAAGATCCTTTCATTCGCAATGTTTTACATTTACTATTAATGGGAAGTGGAAAAATCAAGAAAGAACCAAACTAAGTTTCCATGAAAGAGTCCAGTGTGTGTAATTGTGTGTATCCTCCATCACATCCTGCTTCTCTGCCTCAAAAAATTGCTTTTGATCTCTACTGACAAGCAGACACCTAAAAATATAAAGGCACAGCGCACAGGAAAAACAAAATTACACTGGTTACATAGCTATGTACACCACACAGAAGAAATATTACCCTCTTGTTTAATTCAGAGTCTTAGATATGGGGTCATGAACTTCTACAGTTCAATGTGTTGGTAGGCTGGCTTTCATTCACTCAAGGTTTTCAAATATACCCAGAACCATAACCGTAACCATCACCATAACCATCACACCATGATGAACAGGCAGGAGGACTTATTATTTTGCTATGCATAAATGATGCTGGTGTCATGGAACAGAGTTGAGCGGTAAGAAGAGAAGAGGATGTAACCCTTCCAAAGCCATTTTCATGTCAGTTTTGTAAGCAATGCCTGGAAAAAAGGGAGAGAAGAAAATAGGAAAATCAATCAGGTGGGCACCAGACTGCTGCCCTCACTAAAAATGCTACAGCACTGCACAGTAACAGTTCCTGTGTTCCAGTGTCTGATGGTGCATCTACACACTTATTAATGAGCCTTTGCTACCTCACATTAAGTTTGCTACCTCTGGGCATTTTCACATGTGCTCCGGGAGGTGTGGGGGAACACTTTAATTAGCAAGCTGTGCTAATTAAATGTGCCTGATCACCACGTGTATCAGCATCCCCCATGCTGAAAAATGGTGGTGGGGCTCTTTGAACTAAAGCTCATTGAATGAGTTTTAGTTCAAAGGGCCCTGCTGCCATTTTTCAGTGTGGGGACACTGATACACATGATATCGGAGTCTGCTGGAGTGCATTTATTTCCATTTTCCAACAGGCTTGATTAATTGAGTCTACTCTGATGTGCTGGATTTCCAGTGCATTGGAGCAGGCCTCCTACCCATCTGTAGGAGCCCTCTTATATGAGGTACTACATAAAGGATTATTAGGCTGCCTTAATCCTCAGTAGCAAAACCAAATGCCTTTTTAGTGACGCTTAATGCACAGTAGACATTCTACTTCACATTATCATATTAGCACTGTTTTTGACATGACTCTTTAATGTGTAGTAGAATAGGCAACTATGTATTAAAGTGCATATGTAGGTGCACCATGAGTTCACCAAAAAATGAAGTTTTAGGGGACTGGAAATATTTGCAAATTTGTGCGGAACGTGGTAAAGAGTATCCACCAAAAAAGATGGGGTTAGAGGTAGGACTTAAAGAAATGTCACAACATTTCATTTAAACATTTTCAGTGTAGCAGGCTCACCTTTCAGAGCTTGGGTTGAGTCCCAGGCTTGAGATCCTGATGTTTTCATTGGTGTAGCCCATCCACCAATCAGGAGGCAGCAGGAGAAATAAAGTCACACCCCTTTTCTGAGGGGAGGGGCAGAAGAGCTCCCCCTGACTTGATTGAAGATGGTAAGCTGTCAGGTCTGGAAGACTTCAGGGGCGGAGCCCTGGAGCATATAAAAGGAGTGGCATGCCCAGCAGGAGGGGCAGATGCAGCAAGAGACTCAAGAAGAGTGGAGTCAAGAAAAGCTGGGGAGCTCTCCCCCAGGGCTCCGAACCCTGCCACTGGAGGAGCAGCCTTGGGAACGGTGCGAGATCACTTGGGCTCTTGACAGCACACAGGGACAGTGTGTGGAAATCTGGCCCTGGGAATGGTATGAGACTGCTCGGGCCCATCACGGTGCACAGTTTGGTGCACAGAGCCCAGGCTTTGGAAGCCGTAAGCAGTGGCTTGAGCCTGCAACCCCGGCAGGACCAGCGGGCCACATAGCACATGGGGCAGCACGTGGGGCAAAGGCCTTGGGGTTGCACTGAGGTGGCTCAGGCCTCATCTCCCGGCAAGTGGCCAGGTCCCATGGTGAGCAGGGCGGTGCATGGGCCCGAGCTTTGGGAGCCAGGGAGCAGCGGAGGCTGCTTGGGTTAGCCACCTGGCGTGAGGATGGCTGGCTGCAGCCTTAAGGGCCCAGCCTGTGCTAAGAGAGCCCTCAGTGCTGAGCCAGGGCACAGGGAAATGCTAGTGCTGCAGCATGAGGCCCAGCCCCCAGGAGCCAGCAGCTAAGAGGAACTGAGCCCAGGGTGGGGAGGAACCCAGCAGCCTGGAGAGGCGCTCCAGCAGAGGAGACCCCATCAAGCTGTGCTCTGACCACCGCCACTTGAGGGAGCGTGAGTCATTGGGCCCTTGGGTCCCACGGGGGAAAGACATTTGGAGCAGGCAAACCCAGAGAAGGGGCTGGGTGATCAGCCCCTGCTCCACCTGGTCAAGGCCCTAAAGGCCCTGGTGCTTCCTGGACACCCCGCAAGGGACCCCATTGGAAGGAGGACTATCTCTTGCCATGGGTCAGGGACTCTATTAAGGGATAGATGTTATTAAGGTTGTTCATGTTTGCACCTTATATTTTGTCATTGAAATGTTGTATTGTGATGTTATAAATAGTGTTATTTAGGGGCTGACCTTGGTTACTGGTTAGTGTTCACTGTGTAAATATATGTATATGACATTTAGTTTTATGTTTATGTATATTATAACTTAATAAGTTGTATATAGTTAAGAAATTTGGGCTTGGGCTAACTCTATAGAGGAAAGAGGCATCTGCTTGAAATTCTGGCATTCCTCTCACAGCACCCCCTCCTGCCTACCCATCCCATTCAATTGAGAATAAGGCACAACCTTGGGTGTACCCAGGTTACATTAGTCAACTTTTTCATTTTGCAAATGCTAAGTTGTATCATTCAACCATTTTTTAAACAAAACTTTTTATCTCAAAACGTTACTTTTTATTTAAACATTGACCTTAAAAACAAACATACCAACAACACCCTCTCCCCAGTGAAACAAAGTCAAGTCATCCTAAAAGAAAGCACTTTGGTTTGGGTCAAATGCAAGGATTCGGACTGAGCTAAAACATTTTTATTGTTGCTGCTTTCTTTTTTCTGCCACAAATTATAGATACATGGGGTTTGACCAAAATCATTCTTTAATACAAGTTTCCATTTAGTCACCAAGTCATAAATATCCTTTTTTACCACCTCCACCTGTAAGTTATGTGTTGATGAGCTGCAGAATATTGTATGTGGATACAAATAACTGAAAGAGAAAAGTCTATGAGAACTGGAGAAGGCTGAGGGACATGTCGTTATCCTGCACCTCCTCCCCTCCACTTTTGTACTGGCTGGCACATAAGCCACCAGCATAAGAATTTAAAAACAAAAAGCCAGGACCAAGTCATGGATCATATAATGACACTAACATGAGATATTCCAGCTTTCTAAAATTGAAGTGGATCCTTATTAGGAGAGCTATTAATGGACGTGCTGTAGATAAAATTCAGGTCAGGTGCTCATAGATGGACTCCCTGGTGCCTCTGCCAAACTCTTCCCTCCTGAAATCTGTGCTCCTGTTTCCCAGTTCCATGCAGTTCGTCACATGCATTGGTATTCAGCGTGCCTTTCGGCTGCTCTACAGGGTGTTCGGTCTGCTTATAGGATTACCACCCACAACAGTAACTACTCTAAAGCCAGAAGCTGAGTATGCATATGGGGTGGAAGAGAGGGCACCAGCAGAGGTGAATGGGAATGATGCTTGGAAGAAGTGGGCTGCTTGTTTTTTTCCCCCCCTCTTTGGTTTGTGCTCTTTTCTTTATTTACCAGACAGGGTTGTTTGAAGCAGGTTATTTTTTTATGCATCTTATTGCAAGAACTGAAGTGCAAACATCCAAAAAAAGAAAGAAAGAAAAAAGAAAAAAGGGCCCACATCTTTATCAAAAGAGAACATCAAATTAATTTCTCTCCGTTCTTGGGAACTCATGTAAAATTTATAGGCTGTTTTTTAATTTTCTCTAGTGCGGGCAGCATGTCGTTTGTGGTACAGGGGAGGTGGGGGTGGAAGGAGGCGGAGGGGGGGTGGGGCGGGAAAAGCCAGCAGCAGAATTGGCTGTGCTGACACAGGCCCATACATGGAATGACCTTGCTCGCATGCCAAACTTCACACGGAACAATAATGAGAAGCCAGCAGAACTAATCAATTTGGAACGGGGCCCATTCCCTCCATCTCCCTTGCTCAGCCTGGCCACTTAGAATTCAAGTGGTGTCCCGAGCTTTTCGTACAAGGCTGCCCTTTGAACACAAACACAATGACTTCTCTTACATAACCCAACAGGCAATTTAGCAGGTTCACAACCTAAAATAGAAGCAGAATTAGTTTTTGTATTAACGTACCTTTTTGCCCATCCCAAATCTGTTCTCCTCTCTTTTTCCCTGGCTGGACTACAGGGCCACCAGGACACTGCCCTTTCAACTGGCTAGACAGAGTCCAGGGAAGAAGAGGGAGGCATTGCGACCAGGCAGCTAGGAAAATGCCACTTGATAACCTAATAAAGGAGAAAGTATGGCCTCTATGCCTGACTCACTGACACAAGGTCACTTAGTTCAGGGTTTTCAACAGCCTTTGCTTAATTGTGGAGACGGTCAGTTTTCAGAGGCCCATATCATTTCAAGACAGATAAAACTTCAGCCAGAAACATCTCAGGCTATAGACAGCTGGTGAATTATGTACTGAAGCTGTCAGTGTCCATATAGTCAAGCCAGGGAGATGGGGTCTAAAATATGCTGGGAGCTGAGACAAGCTTTACCACCAAAGTCAGAAGCACCTGGGAGACTTTAAGGACACAAGGTACCCTTATGATCATCTAGTCTGACCTCTTGCATAACAAAAGCCAGAAAATCCCACCCCGTGGATCCCTGTCAGCAACAATCCCCAGCTGATGGACCCGTCTCATCTCCTGGGAATCTCAGCTTCCATTCATTCTCAGCTCTCCAAGCCTCATGAACTTGGAGGAAGCTTAAAAATGTTCCCGCTAAAGATTCAAGCTAGAGAAAAGAACCTGCATTACATATTATCCTTTATGATTTTTAAGCACTTGAGATTGGCAACAGGACAATAACTTATGGTTGAACTAAAGTTTGTCTTTTGAAAGAAACCCAGTCTAGATTTAAAGACTTCAGCACTCACTCTCATTTCTATGTCACGGTCTCAATTGTTAGGTGCCTTCGTGGTTAAAAAAGTGAGCTTTTTTTGGTGGGGGGGAGGAGGGGATCTTGAACTCCGAGATGAAAGAGCCTGTATCCTAGCCCTAATCTCCTGAGTTACCCATTCCCCCATCGAGAAAGGAAGATGAAAAAAAGCATGACAAGTTCCAATGTGAAAGGTACATTAGAAATGTTCAGAAAACCTGAAGAGATTAGATTAAATGTCTATACCAGGGCATTTTATTATGCTTTTTTTTTTGGCATCTTTGCCATTCAGGGGCGGGGTTTGTCCCCCGCAGCTGCAGAACGAAACGCCAGGCTGCGTAAACACACTTCAAAGATGCCACACTATTAAAAATACATGGACATCGTGTGGATCTAAGCTAAATACATATGGCCTTTGATTGTCTGGCATTTCCAATTCATACAGGAACACTACTGCTATGCATTATTGATGATCAGCAGCATTTTGCCATCTCAAACTAAGGATGGGTTCTCCCCCCGCCCCTCGCCCCTTGCTCAGAGATTGAACTGTTTAATTAAGCCTTGATTAACTGTATTTACAATTCTAACTGTCACTGATTTAGTTCGGGAGCCTCTGCTGTTGCCAGCTGCACTCCTCGTTGTTGGAGACAGGGCACCATTTGTAAGGAAGCTCACTCTCCAGGGGTCTCAGCTGCCTGCTGCGATTGCCAGGGCACATCTGTCCAGCAGAGTTCTTTTGGCAGGCACAACACTAAAGTTGGAGGTGGTTTCTGAGTGAAGGAGCCCAGCCGATGTTCCTCTGGGGGGAAGGAGATGAGTCGCGCAGCAAATGGAGAGGAAGGCCCTGATGTGAGAAGAAAGAGAATCGCTTATTCAGCTGGTGCTGGGCACGGTACCGCAGCAGCAAGGAGAGTCTGGCTGTGAGTGACAGGGCACGGCTGCAGGAAAGGTCACACTGCAGAGAGTCCCAGATGGTGCTGACAGAGCACTGCTGTGTGTCGGCTCCTGCTACCAGACTCTCAGCTAGCACTATCAAGGCAATACTGGGTGCGTTTATATGTTCATCAATGCGCTGTAGTTACTGCACATTTAGTTTAGTACTTAATGAAGTACTAACTAAATGCGCAGTAACTACGGTTACTGAGCAGTAGCGCTAGCGCATGGTTTTTTTGTGATGCTTTCTGTGCAGTAAGCCTAATAACATTGCCTGGTAGCTTATTAGCAGTTTTCGACCAGCATGTAACTGGGCAGTGTTATTAGACTATTGTGTAGTAAGCGTCTCATGTAAATGCGCCCACTGTGGAGAAGCTCAGCGTAGCTTATACCCCACCTAGGCCCCCCAGATCATGGCTGAGAGGGATGAGCATGCTGCTAGATTCCCTGCTAGAACCAGGGACTTATAGCTGGGGCAAAGCTCAGATTGCTGTGCTTGCAAGTGCGCACTGACGGCACTGCTGGAAGGAAGCTTATCCTCCCAGAAACCCTTCAATCATTCCTCTCTCTGATCCAGTCTGGGAATTTTCTCTAAAGGGAATGCTCCAGCAGTGAGAATTCAGGAGAAAAGAAGAAGATGTAGAAAGAGAAAAGCAGAGTCATTACAGCTGGGAAACAGCTCTTGAAACTTATTAGCTCATGACTCATCTCTCTGAAAGGAGCTAATACCTTAATTTCATATTTCTCTGCTCAAATGGAGGCTAAAGCGTAAACTGAAATGAAACTTTACACTAATGGCTTCTTAATTACACCCATCTAAAAGCAATTACCTGAGTTTTAACAGATACAAAGTTAGGGTTGATGCAACCACTCGATGGGAAGTGCATTGTGAGGTCATCTGTGAAGAGGTCCATAGCAAGGAGGCACACAGCACCAAGCCAGAAGTGAGCCATGTCCGATAACCCCCTCAGCCCACAGTACCGTTGCTTACTGGGCTCGTAAAAAGGAAAGTGAGTGTAGATGATATGCAGGAAGAATGGCTCTTTTACATGGGAAAAATTTCCTGAGAGTTCCTGGCCTTTTTCCTCCTAAAATAGGATTATGTGTCTGTACAATGCAAACCTCGATAAACCGGTCACCATTATGACAGAAACAGCAGTCTAGTGATCAGGGCAGGCCCCTGGAAAGCCAGGACTCCTGGATGCTAGCTTTGACAGTATGACCTTGAAACATCCATGTTATTTCTTTGTTCCACAATTTTTTTCACTTCAAACTGAGGATAATCCCTGACTATCTCAGAGTGGATTTGAGGAAACTCATGCTTGACCAAAGCTTTGGGATTCTTGGCTGAAACTGTCAGCATCATCATCATCATAAGGGTAGATTTCTTCTGAATATTGTATCTGATTTATCACCTTTTCCTCTAATTTAGACTTTCAGAGCTAGTGTCACAATGAGACTCTGACACAAAGTCCAGAGTGAAATGGGAGTAACTGCTGGTACCATGCTATGCACAAAGGTATCTACACTTACCAGCAGCAAATGCTGTGGTGTGGGGTTTTGAATCCCAGCCACCTTCAGCCCTTACAAGCTCGAGTCTGGGATGCAGGAGCCCAAGTGAAGGGAAGCAAGCACCCGCCATTTTCTCTTTAAAAAAACAAGCAGAGAGATCAATCCTTTCTTTCAAAATACCCCTGCTCCTAGGACTATTCATGTATTTTTTTCCAAAGATTGTTTAGTGTGAAATATATAAAGCGCCCCTGCAGCAGGAACTGGAATACATCTCATTTCCAGATGAATATATTAACTACTAAGCCAGGGACTTGTGCTCAACTTTTCTCCAAGGCTCTGGCCCAATGTATATTTAATTATGCCAAGCAAAGTGGAACAGGTTCAAAAAAAGAGGAATTTGGAATACCCTCAGCCCAGCGTGCTCTAAAAAAGTGATTTAGACAGTCTCCCAGAAGGTACCAGGAATAAAGCTAAATCTACTCAAGAAGTGGAGGGACTTGAACCTACACCACCAACATCCTGTGTGAGGGGAATCTAACCACTGAGCTATTGCTTAAAAGCTGGGTGTGTGTATGGAGGGAGGTTAAACCTACTTCTCTGGCTGTGTTCTGGTTATTGCCTAAGGCACTGGCATGTTCTGAGTAGGGCTAACGGGTCAGAGCCGTTCCATGATAAAGGCAGAGGAACATCTGCTTATGGTGTTAATGCGGATTGGGTCTAAGATCACTGCCTAACTTGCTCAGTAGTGTCAAGACCAATGAAATCCAAGGCCTGCCTGCTTTAGGTGGCTGGGGACCTTTAGCTTCAAAGCCTTAGGGGCCTACAAATTTTAGGTGTTCTAGGCTACGGGAACTGAACAACAGTTTTGAGGATTACACTTTTGCTTATATGCGTCTACTGTGGGTGTTAGCGTGTCCATGCAGGATACCGCCTAAATCCCTTTGATTCTCTCCTGCCATGACTTTAATCTAATAAAGAAATAGGGAGGGAAGAGATGTTGCCCTGGTTAGTACCCGTGCAAGGACCACGCTTGGTTGATCTACAACTGAGGTGCTTTTATTACTTGGTCTCTTACAGGAAAGCCCAGAGGGGCAGCAGTTTGTCCGAATCGTCCCCAGGATCACCCCTGCGCTCCCAGGAGGATCCCCACCAACTTAATTGCACCGGTAAGTGTTTGAGGAACGTCTTAACTTCCCGCCACTAATTATCTTATTAGAGGCTTATTGCAGGCGGCGCCTGGTTTCTCCCACCACGCTCTGTGCTGGTGTGTGGATCCGGGCATTTATCTGCCCCCTACCCCAGCTCCCCTTTCTCATTCAAGTTAGTGGTGCTAGGTCCGAGTCACTAAAGGGGCTGGGTGGATGACCTCCACCATTCTTTGGCTCCTTCGTTGCTTCGCCGCATCCCGGCGCGAAGCTGCAGCTTTTCGCTGTGCTGAGGCTCCGTTCCCCCCTGACTCACCGCAGCTGCCGTGAACTCGGGGTATGTAGCGGGGATGGATTACCGGTCCCGGGTTCTGCTGTCGCTTGATCCATGTTGCCATTTGTGCCTGGGATCCTTCCTCCAGATCCTTCTTAGCGGGGGGGTCCTTGGCGACATCTCTTTCACTTGTGATGCCCAAAGTCACCCTTCCTCTGATCTCCTCTTCCTCATATCCCCCGGCGCGGAGTCCCATTGGCTCGTGATGGGCGTGGGGCGTCTCCTCCTCCTGCCGGGCAATAATCACTTGCAGCTGCCAGATCTCTTAGGTAACAGGGTTTCAGTCGGGACCCTGTTACAGTTGGAATGAGGTGGGACTTGGGATCCTAAGGCCTTGTGCAGATGCGTGTCCAAAGGAATGAGAATACTTACAGCTTAAGCCACATTAATGATGAAGAGAGCTTAGGACAGGGGGTGGGCAAAATGGCAGATTCAGCTGGCGGCCGGACTCCATTTCCCAGCATCACCTACCCATATAGCTACAGCCAGTTTCCATGGAGACCCTAGCAGTGCAGGGCTGTGATAGCGCGGGGCCAGGGTTTCCATAGAAACAGGCCCCAGCAGCACCAGTATTGCGCTCGGCGGTCTTGCAGTGGTGACAGTGTGGTCCAGAGCTGGAGCAGAGCTGCAACCCACTGCCTGCACACCCTTGCCTGTGACACGTGAGCAGCAGATTGCAATTCTGCCCTGGCTTCAGACCATGCTGTCACCACTGCGAAGTCCTGGCCCTGGAGCAGATCCCCTCCCAGCCATGCTCCCTGCCAACGCTGCTGGGGCCAGTCTCCATGGAAACTTTGACCCCACGCTGTCCTGGCCCTGTCACTGCTGGGGTCTCTATGGAAACTGTCTGCAGCAACATGGACAGGGGCTGCTGGGAAATGGAGTTGGCTGTGGGCCTGATTTGGCCTGCAGGCTGGACTTCACCTGCCCTAGGGTTAGGACCTCAGTTTCATGGCTCACTTGGAACACAGTAATTTCAACAGGAAAGCAGTTTCCAACACCATCCTGGGGCCACATTTCAATAGAGACTCAGAGAAGCAAGAGTGTGTTATACCAGATCATCTCCTCACTGTCAGCACCTTGCATCCTGGCTCAGCTCTTGTTCATTAAGCAGAAGTTCCCTTTAAACTGCCATAAAGAACTCAATGCACACGGATGTCTGCCAAGGAGTCGGGCACCCAAGATCCCCTGGTGGGCCCTTGTGCCGCGTCGCACCACTGAATGAGATAATACAATTATTGGATAATTAGAGTCATCAGAAAGTATTCTGCAATGGCAGACTTTTAATTGACTTCCCCATTAATAGATAATGATCATGCTGCTTCTCTTGCCAATGTGATGCCTCCCAGGAGATGGAAAGGTAAGCTTTTGACCCGAAGAAGTGAGTGCCCAGCTGTCCAGAGTTCATTCAGGGTTAACCACTTCCTTCCAACTTGCTTGGAGAAGGGGAGGGAAGCATCATGCTTAAACTGAGAAGAGTAAAGTGAGAGAGGGTTCTTCTGGTTAGCGGTGAGCTACAAAGATAAAGGAAAACAGGACCCCCAACTTCATTCTTCCCATCTTTATTTGTTTGATGGAGCTGCCCAGGGAATAGAGAATTCCATTTCACAACAGAATTGGGGGTTTTGAAACTAGTTTTCAAACATTTCCACAAAAAGGAAATTCTCTCACGTCTGCCTATGGATCAAATCTACCAGGTTTTTAATTGCATGCACACTCCCTCTGTTTCTATGTGCGACTGGAAAGACCACCCTAGACCTCAGCAACTTTCCTGTCAAAAACATCAAAATCCATACATCTCTGAAGTCACAGAAGTAAAGGGCTCCAAGGAATCTTAAGAAGTTCTCTGATCCAAATCCAACCCCCTGCACTGAGGCAGGATCACATATACCCCAATTGTCCCTGATGGACCACCTCCCACAAGCCTCCAGCGAAAGAGTTTCCAAAACCTCCCTCGGTTGCTTGTTCTACACTCTCCCTGCCCTGACCATTAGACATTTTCACCTCATCCCTAATCTAAATCTTTGCTGGAAATTATGTTGCTTTTTGATTGTCCTTCCCCCAATGGCCAGAGAGAACAATTGATCACGATCCTCTCAATAGCAACCTTTTACATGCGACATCTGTTATATCCGTCCTCAGTCTTTTTTTTCCCCTAGACTAAGCAAACCATTTTTTTCCAACCTTTCCTCATAGATTACACTTACTGAATCTCTTATTACTCTCACTGCTCTTTCTGAAGTCTCCCCAAGTTGATATCATGCATTTCAGCGAATGCTGCTTAACTCTAAGCTTTTTCGACTGCTGGCTGATTCTCTTAAAATATGTCCCTGGCACAACTGGGCAGGGATCTCACTTGGGACTTTCAGGTGCCATTATAACACACCCACGAAACCATCTGCTATTCACGCAGGAGTCTGAAGCCATCCTCTAGGCTGTTGCACTGGCTGACTCTTATGCTGTCAGCAGCAGGCGATAGCCGCTCATGAAAGAAAGCAGAGTTTGCCTATTTCCCAGCACTACATATATTCTTAGGCTGGGTTAAGGTGGTGTAAATCAGTATTGAAATTTGCAGCTCTACTGATTTGCACCAGCTGCAGATTGTGCCCTCTTTATTCCTGAAGAGCAACACTAAAAAAAAAAGTAAAGAAAAGAAAAAGAAAGGAACAAACGAACTCCTGCTGGTGCATTTATTTAACTTTATTTCAGCACGTTAACTGGTAAATGGAGCCCATTTTAGGTGTTTGTACATGCAAATTTCTGACTGAAACTAGGGGCCTTGTTACATGGTAATTTTGGGAGGCTCCTGGAGCTCTTAATCCTTACATTCACATTTTAAAGTGGTTTTCAACACTCGTTATGCAGCTCAAAGTTACGCCACTCCAAGGCAGAATTCTCTCTGACCTGCACAACCCAGCTCCCACAGATGTGCTGCCCAAGTTGAAGTCCTCCAGTATCCCAGACTGTCTCTCACCCCTGCCCATAGAGCAGGGATAGAAGCCTGTCCTGGCTCACCAGCTCTCTAGTGGCAACTCATAGCTATAGTTCCTAGTCCTGTTTCTGCTCACCAGGCCTCTGAAGCAAGACAGCTGTGCAGATGGGGGACGGTCAGAGAAAGTTTCTAAACTAACGGTGTGACCTCTCCAAACTCCAAGCTAGCACTAAGCCAGTCGACATCTGTGTGGCTCGCAGGTAAGATGTAACAGTGCCCTAAAAAGCTTTGCGGGATGCTGTTACCTATTGTCATTCCTTCAGATGTGCCTGTTTTATGGATGTGGACAAGGGGTTGGCAGTGCAGGCACATTAGCTAGATGTCCAAACCATCTGCAACTAGGATCTCTGGCCATGCTCAGTGTGCATGGTTTATCTATCTGTAGTCAGATGTATTGATACCTCACTACACATAGGACCTTGTAGTAGTATAGAAAACCTTATTTAATGTTGGCAAAGAAGTTTTGAGAGGCTCTGATGAAAACTAATATATGATTGTCTGCAGTGACCTACCAATGCATTTGTGGCATGCTTATTATTATATTATTACTAAGGGTTCAGATGCACTGTATATGTCTAGGAAGAGACTATGACACCCTTTACAATGTATTTACTCATCTACACAGGCTATTGGTGACACCATTTGGGGAACACAGAGTTGTGGAGCAGCTACAGTTCACCTCCTATTCCTGCTTTATGTGGGTGGGTGGAGGGAGGATGTTTCCAGAGCTCTGTCCTCTGAAATGCTGGCCAGCATGGAGATCTAAGTGATCGGTAGCAAGGAAAGGTCCTAAAGCAGTTTATGCCTCTCATGGAGCAAGTGGAAAGTGGGACCAAACTGTGATGCTGCCATGATACTCCTTCCTCTGGGTGGATTGCAAGGTGCTAATTCAGCTCTTGTTACTTTTTTGCATTATAGCAGTGCCCAGAGGTCCTGACCTAGACCAGCATCCCATTGTGCGGTATGCTGTACACTGCAATTCTTTGGAATAAAGATTGTCTTGTTATCTAAACAGACAGGACAAATAGGTGGAAAGGCAGTATTGTTGATCCCTTTTTCACAGGCCAGGAGTTGAGCCGGAGAGAAACAGTCACTTGTGTAAGCTCACAGAGGATACCTGGAGCAAAGCCAGGAACCCAAATTTCCTGAATCCTACTTCATAGATTTATCCCCAACCCCAGCCTTGCTTCCTGTTTAGAAGAACCCCACAGAATCTCCAATCCAGACCAATGAGTTAGTATAGCATTAGAAACTGAGGAATCCAATACTTTCCCCAGTGAACCCCTGGACAGGGGTGTATTGGGGTGGGGGTGTGGGGAGGAAAGTCATTCTCCCGGTTCCCACCGAAGGAAGCAATGAGTGATTCTCTCCTTCCTTGAGGGTGTGAGGAATCCATCCCTGAAGCTGCAAGGAGGAGATTGTTAAAAGAGAGAGAGAGAAAAAAAAACGAAAAAAAAAGTTGCCAACCTTTCTGGTGCTGGAATGTAAATAGTGTTTTGCAAAAGAGCCATTTATCAGCGAGATTATGAAATCTGTTTGAAGATTCCCCTGGAGGATGTACTGAAAAGATGGCTCGTATGGAACTTAACGAGAGTTTTCACGCAATGTGCTGGGCTACGTGTAGGCAGGAACACTTTGCTGAGAATTAAATCCACGCTGGAAATGTTAATAAATGCAGACAAATGTTCTTGTTTGTAAGGAGCGCCTTGTTCTCTTTATTTATTTATTTATCTGTTTAATTCCTCTGGATGTTGTTACAACATGAGACCCTTTCGATGGCACGTTGCAGGAGAGAGACTCCCTACCCCTCACACTCCTTTGGCTGTTCTGCTTCTCTCTGTGTCCTTCTGTTTCCTGTCAGCTGGCAAGCCGACCTTGTAATTGCCCAGACTCCAGCAAGAAGGCATAATGCTAACCGTGAGGTTAATTCAGTCTCTGTGCAGACAGCATCCTGCACTGAAAGGAGAAGAATGAGGGATAGTGTTGCCAGGGAAGCTTCATTTTCTAGGACCACGAAGGTGAAAAAAACCCTGACCAGGGTGTATGAGGCCATCCTCATTAGACTTTTGGTGGTAGTCAGGGCCAAGAGATAGCTATCTGCATTCCCAGACACACTGCAATATAGCCTCCCCATACTGTCCCTTCACTAGGAGAGTCAGTGGGGTGGCCTTCTTCTCCAAAAGGGTAGCAACACTGGCCTACTGCTGCAAGCAACAGCAAGAAGTCTTCTCCGCTGAAGCGGAGCAGCAGTAAGCTGTCTCTTGAGCAGGGAGACACCTTGAGCAGCTTGACCTCTGCTTAGGTGGGAAGTCTAGACCTAATCTGCTCTT